TGACCTATACAGAGAAGAATACAAAACAAAGCCTATTGGGCATACTCAGGCTTGATCAAATCACAATTAATAAAAAAAAAAACAAGAGGAGAAATATAACACACAGATAAGGTGAACACCAACAAACAGACGACAACCGCACTCAATAATATCACAGGGCTTAGATATGGCAGAAGACAATTCCCACAGAAGAAGATCACAGACAACCCACACCGAGCAAAAAAAATCTGCGACAAGAGGTAGAGAACCATCACTCAGCTGGAAGGGACCGATTCGGAAGAGTCAATCCAGATATGCCACACCTTCGTAAATTTACTAAAGAATATACTTTTAACACCAAAATGATTGCTTCTATATTTGATAGATTCAGCCTCACTATTTCAGTTTTTCTTGAAAAAAAAAACAAAAAACCCTAATTTTTATTTTTTGTCTGTTTTTTTTTTTTGCAAGGGGAATGCTTAATAGTTGCCAAATTAGTGTAGATCTTGTTCCTATATCCCATCCCCTGATGCCCTTCATTCAAGTCACTTCCTGTTAGGCCAGGCTGTCATGGACACACCCCCTTGAAGGCTCCTATTCATGAGCTCATAGAAGTATGCTGCAGAAAGTAATTGCAGGTCATCATGTGTTGTGCCAGACTTCTGCCAGACTTAAAAGAAAAGGACCAGTAATATCACACAACTGGCCCAAAAGACCCAAGGGAAAAATAAATATGTATTTGTATGTACAACCTGTTTGGGGGTGCTCCGAGGGAGTTTCACTTTAAGTTATATATTGGAAATATAAAATGATATGCTAACTGTAGTACATCATATTTTTTAACAGGTTATTCTTTGTAAGGCTCTTTAGCGAATACAATTATCAAACATTGAAAAGACACAAGGTACAGAGTACACATTTCATTTGCTCAGTTTCACAGTTATGCTTCTAGTTAGTAAAATTCTATGAAATTTACTGTTCTTACCACTTAAATCAGTTGTCATGATGATGGCATAAGCCACTATGGGTCCATATGAAGTGTCAAAACTTTGGAAGGTGACGTCCATAGCATCCCTCGAGGATGTGCGAACGATCTGTACACTGCCTGGTATCTCTGCAGGACCTGAAAAATAATTCAGTATCAGGGCATACCCCTGAAGATGTGCACACGAAACGCGTCGGGAGGAGCCACACTTGCTGACGCCACACCACTGCTGCCAAAAGTAGGACCGGCGGCCATCTTGGTACTTTGATTTTATCCTTACCTTTTATGTTTGTTCCATGTGGATCATTTTATTTATGCTGCAATAAAATACTGCACTATATACCATTTGTGGGCTCCTGTGGTGAGCTATTCTTTCTAGGAAAGAGTCAACCTTCATTTTGCCTGTGGCAGAGCAGTTCATGTTATATCTTCTGGCTGTTTCTTGGATCCTTGATGTGATGTGCATATATGGTGAACAAAAACAAACAAGGGCGCACTCCCATCGTGCATTAACGTGGTACACCACGTATTTATTGAAAAATTGTAAATATATACTCACAAACAAAAAGGGATAAAAACAGAACAGGTGATCCGTAGACCTGGTCTACATTTTAGCTCTGAGGAAGGGGGTTCAACTCCCGAAACTCGTTAGCCTATCCCTTATAGGGTGTTTGAATCCATTGGACTGTCCTTACGGATCACCTGTTCTGTTTTTATCCCTTTTTGTTTGTGAGTATATATCTACAATTTTTCAATAAATACGTGGTGTACCACGTTAATGCACGATGGGAGTGCTCCCTTGTTTGTTTTTGTTCACCATTACCTAGATTTCCTGATCTCTGAAGGGCTGCACCTCAACGTTTGGCATTCAGAATTTCCTTTAGTCTGCATGAATATTTGAGTGATGGTTTCCTTTTGTTCTTTTTGATGTGCATATATGCTACTTACCAGTAGCTTTCTGGTGAGTTTACATCTGGCAGAGGTGGTGGAATTCCTCACTGAATTAAAACCACAGTTTATCCTTCACCGTGATTGCTGTGCCTTGTAGCCCCACGGACACCATTGCATATATTTTATATATTTTATGGCCTATACATTTATTTCACTTTATATGGTGCACTTAACTGTTTCACTTGACATTATTTAATTTATTTAGTGCTGCACTTGTATACCATATCCATTTACTGGTAAGTTAAAGTATAAATGTGGGCTAATTTCTTAAAAAATAACGCAGTCTGTAAGCAGTAGTAACATTGCAGTTTTTGTTTTCTAAGTCTGGGCTCTCTGGTATCTTCAGGCTCTACTGTCTCCAAACGTAAGCTGTAATTAGTCCCAGAACACAATATAAAAAATGGTGCAGCGCTTACATTCCAACTATCAATGTGAAAACTCTGTACATAAAATATAATGAAAATCACATAAATATGTAAATAAATTGACTTGTGACAAGGTGCTAGATAAATCCTTCAAAATAAAGTGACTTAGTGATAACGTGAAATCCGTCACTGTATGGTGACCAGTAGTGCTATTGTCCAAATATAAGTGTATAGAAGATCAAATAATCTTCAATGATAGGTGTTCCATCCAGTATTGTGGTGAGGTGACCGATATTATAAAGACTGCGCACTCACCAGATGCGCAATCAATAAGTGCATTTAGAGACAGTACTCTCAGTGGACGAACTGGAGGTCCCTTTGTGGATGGATATGGTCTGGTCAGATATTCCCCTCACTGCTCATTCGCTGTCAATATGGCTCTATCTCTCCTTTCATGTAGCTCTGTGGGTTGTTAGAAGCTGGATTTTCTCTGGACACTGCTCTTTCTATTACGACTGCGGGACCGGTGTCTTCTCTGGTCTGTGCTCTGCCAACTCCTGGAGCAGTACTGACCTCGCTCTCTGAGATCGATCTCTCTAGTCTTCCAGTCCCAGAACACAGGCTGTGTCCTCCTTCACCATTTATGGATGCCCACTTCAGTCTTGGATCAAAGGCCACATCATTCAAACCCTTACCTCTGAGCCAAGGCCATCATGGATCCATCTCATGGGGCTTCATCATTATAACAGGTGAAGATCATGGTACTGCAACACTGAACAGAGCACACACATCATTCAGAATGTGTCTCAGCGCTGCAGTAAAGGCCACCCATCGCCATGGCTGGACATCAGAAGAAAGGGCCCAAACCATCTCTGGACTGCTCAGATGGATGGAATTAGGGTACGTTCCTAGGGTATTTAATTTTAAAATAATGTGTGGGTGCAGAGGAAGGTCTGGGGGCTGGAGGGCATAGTGAAAAAAACTAAAGAACGTAAAAAAAAAAGTAACTGTAAATACATTAACATTTGTATGTACCTGTTCTAAAAGCAGAAGTTATTGAAGCAGATCCAGACAAGCTGGTAACACTTGCTGTTGACTGATCTTCATTGATGGTGTCTGTGTCTGGATCAAAGTCTAGAGCGCTAAAGCCAACTACGTAGACCCTGAAAGTCAAGAGAGTGACCCTGGGAAGAAGATTTTGCAGCAAATGTTACAAAGAGAGTGACATCCATTTTACTGATAATCATTGGGAAGAATGATTTTGCAGCTATGAAAAAAATGTTACTGATTTCACTGAAATTTCCGTAACAGTTAATCTCATGTATCACCATGTAGACTGCTTAGAGCACGGGCGTCAAACTGCCGGGCCCTCCAGCTGTTGCCAAACTACAAGTCCCATGAGGCATTGCAAGATTAACAGTTACAAGCATGACTCCCAAAGGCAGAGGCATGATGGGTATGATGGGAGTGCTGCCATTTTGACACCCCTGGCTTAGAGGAATACAAAAAAAAACCCCATGAATTTGGTTTCTACTGACATTGAGATCAATGGCTTTGTTGATAAACATAACCAACCCTTAGATCGGGCACCTTCTTGTGTTTATTTCTTTGTTATGTGCTATAGGCAGGGGTGGACTGACAACTCATGGGGCCCCCGGGCAATAGGGGATCATGGGGCCCCTGTATCCTTGCCCCACACTCAAAAAAAGCCTATAAAAAGGTACCAGGGGCATTTCATGGGGCCCCCTACTGACCCCGTGCCCTCGGGCAGTGCCCGAGTGCTTGAATGGTCAGTCCGCCCCTGGCTATAGGTACTCAAGACGCTATTAGAGGAGCTCCTCTAATTTGTGCTTTTCAGGAAACTTTTTAAAACAACCTTTACCCGCTTGATACCACATCCCCACTTGATGACAGTTATCTACACGGCACCATAGCTATTCCTAAACCCTACCCATAATGCTTCCCCTAGTGTCAGTCCTTGGATAAACAAATCCACATGTTCAACATTTTATAACTGGCTTTTGTTGTTAAATTTTGCAAAAATACCCCAATTGTTGCTTAAATTTCACCAAAGTGAAAACTCACAATTTTGCTCATCAATAGCAATTATTATGTAGAGAATTTTTTTCAATTCTATATCTGAAACTCTTCAAATCCTTCTAGTGCCAGCCAGTTTAACAGATATTAAGTCTGGGGTCTGAGCAATAAGATTCTTGTCTTATTAGAGGGATGTGGGAGCAACTCCACTGCCTGTAGTGTAATGCGGGGTCCATTGACATATCTCCTTGAAACATTTTGCTGAAATGCCCCAATTGTTGCTGAAATTTCACCAACGTTAAAAGTCACACTTTTGTTTAGGTACTTATATAGCGCCATCAATTTACGCAGTGCTTTACATATATATTGTACAATCACATCAGTCCCTAACCCTCAAGGGGCGTACAATCTAAGGGCCCTAACTCACATTCATACATACACATACTAGGGACAATGTAGACAGGATCCAATTAACCTACCAGCATGTCTTTGGAGTATGGGAAGAAACCGGAGTACCCGGAGGAAACCCACACAGGCACAGGGAGAACATGCAAACTCCAGGCAGGTGGTGCCATGGTTGGGATTTGAACCGACGACCCTAGTACTGCCAGGTGGAAGTGATAACCATTTAGCCACTGTGCTGCCCAACCATTTAACCACTGTGCTGCCCATAGAGGTCTTTCTTAACCACTTCCCGTCCAGCCCATGTACATAAAAAGGCCGGACAGGAGCAGTGCAGGAGCGGGTGGCAGTTTATAAACGTCCTCCCGCTTCCCTGCCTGTGTGCGCTCCCTGGGAGCGCGCGGCACTGCGATCCGGTGCCCGCTGGGTCTCTGTACGGGACCTCTGTGTGAGGTTCCGATCATGTGATCACTGATTGGTTAATCAGTAACCACATGAATAGTAGTAAACAAGATGTCACTTCTGACATCATTGCTTACTACTAGTGGAAGGCTAATCACAACAGCCTTGTACCATGTGACAAGCTGTGACCAATCACAGCTATCACAGTATTTCTCAATGGCTGCACGAAGGCAGCCAGAGAGAAGAGAAATTATTGCTTTTACAGCCTTTATGGGTGTAAAAGCAATCAGTGTAAAAAAAAAAATCTTCATCACTATGTTAAAAAAATAATATAAAAAAATTAAATTGAAATGTAAAAATTTTTTTGAAAAGTTATAATTTTTGAAACACCAATTTGCTGTACGGGACCTGTGTGTGAGGTCCCGATCATGTGATCACTGATTGGTTAATCAGTGACACAACAGCTGTGACCAATCACAGCTCTCACAGTATTTCTCAATGGCTGCAAGAAGGCAGCCAGAGAGAAGGAGCAATGATTGCTTTTACAGCCTTTATGGGTGTAAAAGCAATCAGTGTAAAAAAAAGAAAAAAAAAATCTTCATCACAATGTTAAAAATAATAATATAAAAAAAATAAAATTAAAATGTAAAACTGTTTTTTGAAAAGTTAGAATTTTTGGTTATAAACTAATTTGGAGTATTTTTTTGTTTTTTTACTGAAAAAATAGCTGAATACATTGTTGGCCAATATTTATGAAGAAAGATTATTTATTTGCTAAATTTTTATAAGAAAAACACTTTTTTTTTCAAAATGTTTGGACTTTTTCATTTATATAGCAAAAAAATTAAATCCCAGTGGTGAATAAATACCACCAAAATAAAGTTTTATCTGTCTCAAAAAAATGCTAAAAAATTCATATGGGTACAGTGTTGTATGACAGCGCAATTGTCATTTAAAGTGTGATAACGCTGAAAGCTGAAAATTAGCCTGGGCAGGAAGGGGGGGAAAGTGTCCGGACTGGAAGTGGTTAAAGGCTATATATTTTATTTTTTTCAAATCCTTCCACCTCAAGTCAGCCTAACAGAATTCAGTTTGGTGTCTGAGCAATAGGATTCTTGATATTTAAATGCAGGGTGTGTCTCATTGGATGGATGTTGAAGCAACTTCATTACCTGTAGTCTAATGTGGGGTCCAATGGTCCATTGACATATCCCCTTGAAACAGTTCCATCTCCCACATGGACCTTATCTTGTTCGATTGGTTCATCTTTCTGGATATTCTGCTGGTCAATGACAGAGGTCACATATGTCCTGGTCAACCCGTTCTTGAAATCATTATATGTCTTGGATAACGAATCTTTAGTTGGTTTGTTGCCTGTAAGATAAAAGAATGACCAACGGGACAGCATGACAAATGGTCAAAGAAAATGCTGTCAACACTAAAGGTAAATTAACTATGTTTGATAAATTCAGGCTCACTTTTATTTATATTTATATTAATATATTTTAATAATCATTATTTCAATTCTAATCTGTCTTTTTTTAAAGGGGTTCTT